CCTCCACCACCAACCATTTGTCCACCATTCATCCATCCTCGTAGTTTCCGGTAATTGTATCCATCACTTGTATTTGTGTATGTAATTTAAAGTTATTTCAGCATATTTAAAGATTCAATTTCCAAATCATATATTATGGGTTTTTATCAAATTAACTGTCAAAAGTATATTAATAAACATATAAGAGTGTGTTTTTTAAAGTCACGAAGAATCCCGAGTCAAAAACTATTGTAAACAGAAAATCATCATACGTTGGCAGTACTGTATGAATGTTTTACATAATAAGATTCTTATAATAATTAATTGGAAATATGATGTCTAAGCTAAACTCCAAATGCATAGAGATAAGCAATCAACAAACATACGTTGATGCATAAGAACGAATCGTTCATACCAAAACAGAAGGCAAAAAAGCACCATAAAGTAAGAACATGAACACTTAAATAAAAACATTTGGTTTAAGTAAATCTTACGTATAGAGAACAGCGTTGGAAAAGTCTGTCCTTAATAAAAGACGACCTAATTGTTGGTGCACACTAATACACGTAACGATATATACCGATATTTTTTCTTCACAATAATCCACATTATGCATATGTATACAATAATCTGTATATGTGTATCATATGTATATGAATTTGATATTCTAAAAAGTCTATATATAACATTTAATGCAGCGTTGATTTTTCTGAAGTCAACTTTGTTATCATTTCATTATTTCATCACCTATGTATAGTTGTTTACACTAAATTTGTATTTTCTGTTCAAAGATGAACAAGATTTTTTGAAGTAATGATGCCATGTAACCATAATGATTAAAGCTATATAACTGTTTAACACTAAAAGTTGGATCCTTATATTGTTATTTCCTCTAAATTTTCAAAACAGAAGCTATATAAGAAACCTAATATTTCTTCTGAAGAGTAAAAAAACCCTAATATTACAAGCTTAAAAACAGGATTTTGGTTAACAACGTATTCAAACCATGCTCTTTTGAAAAGGGAAACTAAACCCATGTCATGAATGTAAAAATAAAAAGGTACACAATAAACATTATAGTAATACCCTTCATGTACATAAAAATTTTCGATTACACAAAACGATGAAGAGGTAACACATGTCACTGTATGCCCTTGCATATGTCCCCGCCTCTGTTTCCATCACAAATTTATAGTTTTCGCCACCATCGTATACACATTTGCAAAACGAATGGATACCTAGTAATTGTTGTTATATGTGTGAACAACAAATCAAGAAACACACACAATATGAATTGGTTATGCTTAAACGATATATATTTACAAATATAATTCTTTAAAATAAAATCTATAAGTTCACCGATATTACAATACAAATGAGTTACGTTTTCGTACTCGTTATTTTTAGAAACTTCTACGAGTACAAGATACCGATGATTTTTTTTTGTGTGGTCTTTAACTCGATTTATATGTTTTCACGAAAATAGGTTTTTTTTAATGGTTCATTGTGGGCTTATCTTAAGAATCGGCTAATTGGGCTCGACCCATATTTTTTAATCAGTATCAGGCTCATAACATAGGAGTCTTGTGGTGAGCCGACCAACCCGCATTGAAAATTGTTTAGCCATGTGCAATTAGGGGTGGTGGGAGTTAATGGTGTGGATCCTTCATGTGATCTAACTATCCCTCAGTCTTGAGGGTCGTGAAATTGATGTTTTTAAGAGAGAACTATAAATATGGTCCCTATGTTTTGTTAAAAATAACACTTTTTATCTATATAGTTTGAAATCATAAGATTGTCGTTATAGTTTGTAAGTTCGTTTGAATTTTCCCCTCTTTTTAATGATATATTAAATGAAGAACATTTTTGTCTTCTCATCGATTTCTTTTTGTATTTTATCTAATCAAAAGTCAAAGCCATGAGGACCGAAAATCATAGATTTTGATTTGATAAAAGAAAAAAAATTGATAAAAAACAAAAATGCTCTTCATTTAACAGAATTTTTAACGACCATTAATACCATATTGTATGATTTACATGTGTTTTTTTATGATGTCTCTTTAATAACATTGAGCTGGAAATGTAAAGTTGTTGGGTGTAAGAGGAATGACCTACCATATTGTTTTCAGCAACATATTGTTTTCAACAACATATTGTCATATGAGGTGATCATTTGCGGGTTTGGGTTGGGCTTGAGTCAGGCTTAACTTGTTTTTTTGTCCAACAGGCTTAATATTGTAAACTCAACCCTATTTTTTGGACTTGACAATTTGCCATTGCCCGCATTGTAAACGGGTCGGGCTTGCCAAAGACCTAACGGGTCTAAAAAGTGTAACTCTTGTAAATCTATATGGAACCAAAAAGTAAAGAAAAAAATACCTTTACAATTAAAATTTTAAGCAGTTAAAGTAACACATGGATCTCAACAAATGGAGAAAGAAATGAAAAACAAAATTCAGACTTCCATAAAATCAATAATAACGCATTCCTATTTTTTATGTATAACATTAATATTCACATTTTCATGGCTTCATCATGCTACTGCCTATTTCAAACATCCCAAGTTTTGATCATGAACCTCCATAATTCTTTAGCCAAATAGTCCCATCATATGACTTTAATAATTTAATTTTAAAAAACACTAGTATAATTTTAATTAATGGTACAAAATATTAATTTATAAAATATCAACGGGCTTGACGAGCCTATCCATATTTATTTTTACATTGTCCACGTTCGATCGTTAATTTTAACAAACAAACCTGTGCCTGTCCATTTTCTCGATAATAGTTGTCCAAGTCCGTATTTCTAGCGGGCCAGACGGGCCGGGTTTAACGGGTTATCCCGCCCATGGACAACTCTAATTGTCACCCATTAGATAAGGTTGGGTTTTGGCTTTCACTAGACCCGTCCTTCATACAAGTAACTTATCATGTGTCTTCAAAATTTCTAGTCGGTTTTAGATAAAACTGATTTAGGTTTCTTTTTACTTTAAAATCTTTCTAGTCGGTTTTAGGTAGCTTTTTTTTTTCTTGTTAAAAGAATGCAGGTTACCAAGTTTTAGTAGTTTGATAATTTATTTATTACAAAAAACTATTTAGAGACTTAATTATTCAAAATGAAGGAAAATCTAATGTTTTTTCATTCAAAAAAATAGTTCAGAGACTTAATCATTTAAAATGAGAAATTTTAATTGTTTTTTCGTTCAAAAAAATAGTTCAGAAACTTAATCATTCAAAATGCGATAGTTCGTTGGATTTTCTGAACTTTCCCCTTAAGTGACACTATTTGTTTATCTTAAAAACACTAGTTATGTACCTGCAAGTAAAATTTTATTGTAAACTGAAAATAAAATGCTAGTACAATTTATCATAAAAAAATTAAAATTATGTGTTCAAACAAAATGGAAATTAAAATCACCCGTAATGCATTTGTATATAAGTTACTAAAAATGTTATATTGGTTTATTTTTTATTACAATCATCTATACTATATTATAAAGAATTTGACAAAAACTCTTAAAAATTATTTTTTATGTATGAAGTATTATTTATTGATGCATATTACTTGAAATTCAAGATTACAAGTAATTATACGTAAGTACAACTTATTAAAGCTTCATGTTTGAATTCATGTAACCAACTGCAGATAAACATAATTAAATTGAGAATAAACATTTCATTTTAAATATATAAAATTTAAATTTAATTAGGATAGTTATTGACTTCTAATAAAATACTTATTTATTATATTTATAAAAAAATTATAAGTTTGATACTAATATCAATATTTTTTTCAATTTTTTATGATATCTTTATATCTATATTTTATTCAAAAATAAAACATTACGCTTTCTCAAAACCACATAAATATGTATTATAACATCAGCTGAGACAAATAAAGAAATAAAACAAAACATTAAAATCGAAATGTATCTCGCTGCATTGTGCGAGTACCCTTCTAGTATCTTTTAATATATTAGCGATTTCAACTTAATACATCATCGATGATATACTCTTAAAGTATAAAAATTTAAAGACAAATTGTAAAAAAGCCCGTACTTTTATGTAATTCTTATTGTAAAAGATTTACGACTCAAAAGTAGTTTTTATTTCATTAGTTTTGAATTTTTTAAATTAAATTAAGAGAAATTAATAGAAATAATCATTTTCAAACTTTAAATTCATTTCTTAGTTATTTATTACCTTACTTTTCAAAAATATTATTACCTTCGCAAGTGACACATTCTCGATTGTGAATGAGTCAAGATGTAAAAAAAGTTTATGAAAAAGATCCGCAAATACAAGGACAAGATATGTAAATTAGATAAACGTCTACACTTTTTGTTACTTGTGAAAGTGTTAAGATACTAATTTACAAATTTGGTCTCTACACTTGGATCTGGTTTTGATTTTTTTTTTTTGTAAATTAAAAGGTAATGATATTTTTGAAACGAGAAATAAAGATTAGATTAATAGTTTCATTAAGATACAACATCTGAATCATTAAGAGGTGAATTTTGTTTGGCAAAAAAAAAAGTCTGTCTTTTAATGGTTCTAAAACTCTTGAATGATTTTGTATCATGAATCTCCTTTAATCGTTAAGAGCCTTAATTTCATTATACACAATTACCAAATAATTATATTTCATTTTGCACTATATTATGAAAGCCTCTTAATCATTTTGACGACTTAATCATTTTACACCAAACCATTTAGCAATTATCAAACAGACCCTAATTCAAAATAAGGATCGGGTATTTAATTAATTAAAGATGTTCGTAAAAGTGGGGATGGAGATATATGAGGTTTCTGGTGTGGCAAACAGAGAAGAAAAGGTTAAAGATGGAAGACGTGGAAAGCGGTTTCCACCGGCGCTCACGTGGTGTGTATAGGTCAAACCTTGACTGACTATGTGGCTTCTCTTTCCCGAATTATCCAGCCACCTTTGATTTCTTCACCACTCTGCATCAATCTCAATAAACCCTCCAATCCAATCCAATCCTCTCTCTCTCTATGCATTTTTACACTTCGATTGATCACCTACTAATCAATAATCTCTCATGTCTCTGCTTCAAGTTTCAAACCAAAACAGTCTTTTCTGCCATTCTCCATGTTCCCGAAGCTTTTCATTCAGCCCCAGCTCAATTGCCACTTCAATGTGCTCTTCCTTTTGGGCCAAAGAGTTTTCTCTAATCAATGGGGCTTCGGTCGTTGGAATTTTGGTGAAAACACCACGAGTAGGTTTAGGAGGAGGAGGAGGATTTAGGGTGTTGGCTATGTCAGCTTCCACGAATTCCAGGTTTAAGATGAATTTGAATGAGTATATGGTTACTTTAGAGAAGCCGCTTGGAATTCGCTTCGCTCTGTCTTTAGATGGCAAGATCTTGGTTCATTCCATGAAGAAAGGGGTCGGTATTTGCTTATTCCAATCACATTTCAGTTTTTGCAACACTTTTCAAATTTAATATGATTTTTTAGGTAACTTTCAAACTGCATTTTTTGAAGTTGCAAGTTCACTGCAATCTGAAGCTGTTTGATATTGTATCAACTCTTGTGTAGGGTAATGCTGAGAAATCCAGAATAATTATGGTTGGTGATACTCTGAAGAAGGCAAGCGCATCTTCTGGGGGTAGTCTTATTGAGATTAAGGACTTCAGTGATGCAGAGTACTAGCATAAACCTTTATTGCCAAATTTTTACTAGGCCTTATATTTAGAATTATGTGCACATCATGATGCAACCATATGAAAATCCTTGCAATTTGATCTTCTGTTTATAGCTTTAGGAACTAGAATGCTTTCAGCAAATCTCTGCATTGTTGAGCTAATGGGGGATCAAGGGTCACAATGAGACAAATAATTGCTGAATTCTTGTAAGGATATCTATTTTGACATGCTATATAACGAAGAAACTGTAAAAACATGGAATTACAAGGACTTATATCGTTCTTCAGAGGGTCTATGCCCATGATGTACATTTGATGTGTGTATATGCTTTACAACTGAAAAATTACATTTGCATTTTGACAAGATTCATTTCCTCTGTATATTTCCATGCAAACACAAACCATATAACTGATGGTCATGGTTATCGGATGAACAAATTGTATGGTTTTATGATTAGTAGCTTTTTGCTGTTTTGCATATGAAATGCATCTTCTTCACTGCTATCCCAAGCACATCCAGAATATGATAGTGTAGCATTTATAATAGATGGAAAGGAAATTTTAATTAGAATGTAAGAGCTTTAAGAATAAGACATATTGTTAATGTGTCTTGCTTCGTTTTTGCAGGAAGATGATGTTAGAGAAATCAGGACTTTGTAGTCTTGTCCTTGAAAGACCTTTCTCCCCTTTCCCAATTCAACATCTGCATCAAAAAAGTGATCTGGAGATCCAATTTAACAGAGGCCGGGTTCCTATTGCCACTTGGAACAAAACAATACTGACATCAAGTTTGAGAACATCTTTTGAGGGCAGCGGGAATTCAGGGTTTATTATGTTCACCCCAAGATTTTCTACTCCTAAAGGGTGGAATCTTCTGATTAACCAAAATGGACAACTTCGCAGCAGGATACAGAAAAACATTCCAGACGAACCATTTACTCAACTTGTCACCATTTTCTCTGAAGAAGAATCAGGAGATGATTGGTCACATGGGAGCTTCCCACTTGATGAGTATATCAAAGCACTAGATCGTTCGAAAGGAGAACTTTACTATAACCATTCTCTTGGTATGCGTTATAGCAAGGTGAGATGTCCGGAATCCTTATTTTCAGTACATGTGCAGAACGCCTTCTATATTCTTGCCTTCATTAATGTTTGTTTGGTTTGTGCCCATTTAGATATACAAGGAAATTTAAGTAACACCCTAAAGTAAGAAAACTTGAAACGAGTGTAGGAAAAATGGTGTAGAAAAACCTCTTACATTAATAACATCTTAAAACTTATGAAATTTTATTAACTTGTTTGTAAAAGCCATGACCCTTGATGCATTAAAAGAACTGCATTGTGAATACAATCAGTCTACCTGTATTGTACATTTGAACAGTTTGTTATGATATATAATTCTAATTGATATACACTTGTTAACTACAGATTACAGATCAGATGTATGTGGGGTCATGCATACAAACTGAAGCTGATGTAGAGACTTTAGCTAGTGTTGCGGTGAGTGTTATCAAACTTGTTAATTCAATTGACATTCCACATCTTCATTCTACTTGCTCAGATACATCATTATACAACTCCGTTTCCATGCTTTATAGAAGGTCATAACGGAATGTTCCTATCCATAAGTTCTATTTGAAAAAGGGTCTGTCATGCCCTAAGGTAGTCATGTCATGAGGTCCGTATACACCTATGATCAAATTCAGGAGCTGAAATTAAGTCATTGTGCTTGATAGTAAAATCTACTTTATTTTATCTTCTATTTTGTGGGGTTTTAGAACTCTTTCACAAAGAAGTCTCATTTATAGATAATTGCAATGTAATCTTGTTGAATCGTTGGAGTACATCACATTTTCAGTTTTTTCTTTTATCACTCATTGTCGTTGACGAGAAATGGTTAATTTTTGCACCAGGGAGTCACTGCTGTACTAAATTTCCAAGGCGGAGTTGAAGCAGAAAATTGGGAAATTAATTCGAAGTCGATTAACGAGTCATGCCAACAGAATAACATCCTTATGATTAACTATCCAATAAGGTAATTCAAGTTTTCCTTGGGGTCATTTTTGTTGCACCCATTTGTCTTTCTCATGCTAACCGGTAATCAGCATCCTTACTTTGATATTTTGAGCCATTTTTTTGTTGTTGCTGGCTACTCCAATGAGTTCATGTACCTTATGAAATGTTCCAATGCTGCATCCTTGCTAGTTTCCGCAGGACGCAGCTATGCGCCTCCACATCTAATTTCCTTTTTTGCAGGGAAGGAGACTCATTAGATATGAGGAACAAGCTTCCATTTTGCGTAGGTCTTCTTTTACGCTTGCTGAAAAAGAACCATTGTGTTTATGTAACTTGCACTACTGGTTTCGACCGATCTCCTGCCTGTGTGATTGCCTATCTCCATTGGATGACCGATACTTCACTTCATGCAGCCTACAACTATGTTACTGGATTGCATACATGCCGTCCTGACAGGTCCTCAATTATTACCATCCTTCACATCTATACTATATCATAAAGCATTTGACAACAACACTTAAAAACCATCTTTTATACATGAAGTTACTTTCATTATTAAATCTATATTAAATTATAATAAAATTTTGAATTAAAGAAATTACACAGAAAAATGTAAACTTTTTAATTTTTTTTAATTTTTATGATATCTTCAAATTTGTATTTTATTAAAAAAACATTAGTGCTTGCTCAAAACCACATAAAACCTTATTATAACATCGACAGAGACCAAAAAATTAAAACGAAACATTAATCGAGACATGTCTTGCTGCATTGCTCGAGTACCCTTCTAGTCTACTTAAATATATCTCTGCTCAGATTTTTAAGACCTTTTACTCATGTCCATTGACTGGCAAATGGTATTAGATGAACAGTTCCAATCTTGCCAAGAGTGTATATAGCAGAAAGTTTAAAAGTAGTAGCTAATGTTATTTCTTTATAGACTTCGATCAGAAGTAGTAACAATGCTCGACTATGTATTTAACTTTTCTCAGTTTCTAAAAGAAGTTTGATATGGATATATCCAATGTCTAATGCAGACCAGCAATTGCCTGGGCAACATGGGATCTCATAGCTATGGTGGAAAATGGCAAACACGACGGACCTGCAACCCATGCCGTGACATTTGTGTGGAATGGACATGAGGTTATTAGTCATATTGGCCCTTTTCAGTGCATTTCTATACACTCTTGTTAACTGCTGAGTGGCAATGTTTGTATTTTCACCAAAACGGAGCCCAAGTTTTTTCACTATGAGATGATGCTTTTTGCTAATACATGTTACATTATAGGGAGAGAATGTAGAACTGATTGGAGATCTTACTGGTAACTGGAAAGAACCAATTAAAGCAATCCACAAAGGTGGCCCAAGATATGAAGCTGAAGTTCGACTTGCACAAGGGAAGTAAGTTCTTTGCCTTAATTGAACAATTTGACATGTAATCTTGCTATTTTAGCACCCTTGTATATATATATATATATATCAATGATATTGCTATTATATCATGCTTTCTAGTTAATTGATGAGGTGTTTGTGACCTTCAGGTATTACTACAAGTTCATAGTGAATGGGGATTGGAGGCATTCAACATCTTCACCGACTGAGAGGGATGAACGGGGAAACCTTAACAATATACTTGAGGTTGGTGACACTGCAAGTGTGCGACCTTCTATTCAACAACCAAAGAAGGTATATGAGATTTATCTTCTTTCTTATTTCAGAATATCCACAACTTAAGATGGTACCATGTTTATAATAGGCCTCCAAAAAGATTGGAACAGATTCATGTATATATGTCAAAATGTACATTCATAGATTTGTGAATCCTGGTGAATGCTGACACATGATATTTGGTTTAGGATGCAAATGTTGTGAAAGTGATCGAGAGACCATTGACGGAAAATGAGCGGTTTATGTTAGCCAAAGCAGCTCGATGTATTGCATTCTCCGTCTGTCCCATAACGCTGGCACCCAAATAGTTTCATATCAACCATACCATACCATAAAATGGCTTTGAAACAATTTGTGGCCACTATCAGCGGACTTTGCTTGCTGGGTCACTATAAAAATCGTCATCAAAGTATGCCACTAATGAAGAATACGGCCATTATTTGAAGAAAATGACATCTTTGGCAAGTGAGACGATGTAGCCCTTCTGGCAATTCAGATGATTAACGATTGATCGCAGGCATGGCCTCTGGTTGATTGGTATTTTCTCTTTTTTTGTTATTTTGCTAACCGATATATAATTTCTGCGAAAATGTCCATCTCCTACTGGCTTAAGACATGGGAACAGGGGATATATAGTTAAATACCCATATACTTGCTATACATAGATACATACATAAATGTATTATTGCAAGTCCAACTTACCATCGGTCTGCCCTTGTTCATGTCCTTATGTATGCTACTACAATCTGATTTCATCGAACTTGCATTTTCTTGTTTTATTTCTTTGTTTTTAATAATGCAGGCTTTCAAAAAAGAAAAGAAAATTCTAGAAAAGCTTTGTTAGTGGAGATGCAGGGCTTGTTTGTTAACAACTTAATGAAACTCAAAGCTTATTCGGTCACCGATACATAACTGTTTGGTAGGCTTAATGATACATAAAGTAACTTATTATATAGGGTAAAATATTATGCAGAAAGTCAAGTTCCTGCCAATTAAAAAAACACATTCCTCCCATCTATGAAAAAAAATTCTCACAAATAAAAACCTTCTCGATCCATTTGACATACCAATCCGAACAATCAGATTTATCCGTATGGAAAACCCATAAGAGTGAACCGTTATGGTATAAAGAAGAAATGATGATGTCAAATTCAGATATGAAACCAATATGACGACAACATTACATTACACTGATATGTGACATCCCAGTCCCAGAATATATAACAATTTTACACCGACCCACAAAGGAATTGAAGTTAAATGATTCTCAACAATACAGAGATAGCTTTATAGCGTCAGCTTTTGCACAATAATAAGATGTAAACTACCAAGATTTGCATATCTGCGGAACCCACAAACAACATTAGTTAGCAAGCAACTATAATTAATGCTAGTCTCAAATGGATTATTATAACTATGTACATGATGGGAAGAACATCATACGTTTCGTGCTTATTGTATAGAATCAGTCCTCATTTTCAAGTTTCATCTGGCTTTGGTTCAAGCAGCACATGGATCTTCTCTATATGGTCACCTCGCAGAACTTCAACACTCACCTGACCATCATAATCAAACTTAACTTGGACCTGATTTTTCTTAACTTAGAAGATAATGGAAATGGATGGTAACGAACCTTTTCACCCACTTTGCATTGATCAAGAATTCTGTATAAATCACTTCCGTTAGCAACCTTTTTGCCATTTACAGATGTTATAATATCACCCAATATGAGTCTGCCATAGGCATCGCGTTTTGTTGATAGCATACCCTGTTTGATCAATATTATATCACATTGCTAACTTTTTAATACAGTTGGTAAAAGAACACAGCAATAAAATTACCGCTTTTCCAGCTGGACCATTTGGAGGAGCATCTAAGACCAGCACTCCACTCACTCCTAGTTGTTCTACTGACTGATCAGGTGCAAACTTGATTCCCAAAATAGGTCGTGTAACTTTCCCAAATCGCACCAACTGGTCTACAATTCCACCTACCTGGCCAAATAATGAAAGCAAAATGAGTCCAAGGCCTTGTAATTATGAATGACATATTAAATTCAAAGGTAAGAGTAGCATAACTCACTGTGTCGACTGGAATGGAAAATCCAACACCAGAGGAGGCACCAGATGGGGAGTATATGGCTGTATTTACCCCAATAAGGCTTCCTGAGCTATCAAGAAGTGGACCTCCACTATTACCAGGGTTGATTGCAGCGTCTGTCTGGATAACATCTTGGATTGGACGGCCAGTTGCTGCAGAGCTAATTTCTCTCCGTAGCCCACTATAAAGAATGAAGATAAATACCTTATAAGGATCAACTTCACTCTAAATCCCAACATATTCTCTACTGATTTAAGCCAAGAGCTCCATTTATGAAAAGGTAGGCTTGTGGCACCAATTCTATACCTGATGACACCAGTTGTAAGTGTGTGATCAAGCCCAAACTGCAAAACAAATATCACCCATCACATTAACTCACCTACCGACCCTAAATGTATCAGGAAGGCAATATGGAAACAGTTTATATTTAAGTCACATTAGAGGTCTATCAGTTGGTACAAACCATACTAACAAGGAAACATTGGCAATCAGATGTTATGCATGATATAAGCAGAAAACAGGCGACACCCACTATACACATACAAATACACATCAACATATGTATTGAATTAGCATATATCTAACTCACAGGGTTTCCAATAGCAAAAACTTTTTGCCCGACGAGCAAATCAGCCGACATGCCAACCGGTATGGGTCTCAATTTGTCTTGTGGTGCATCAATACGCAATACTGCAACATCCTTATCTTGGTCAAACCCAACAACTTTTGCGTCATAAGTGGTCTGGTCAGCAAGAGTGACCCTGAACAAACATAAATCAATTCAACCTTAGCAGATAAAAGGTTATGGATTTATAGGCATTTCTAACATAACTAATAGAGAAAATAGTCAACCCAGTCACAAGTTCAAAGCACCCATTTTCCAAAGTCAACACAAATCCAGGTGTAGGGCTAAAATTAGTAACTTCTTTTTTTAAAAATGAAAGATCTTCTTCAAAAACACAATCAAACATTCAGATCACATTTATTACCATCTTGGGCTGCATCTTCTTCTTGCCTCACTGTTTATGATGGTTTATAAATTACAGATTTCTAATTTTAATATATCAATTAGCGGAAGCAACTTTGCTGCTTCTTAGATTATAATGAGTATTCATTGATATATTTAATTAATTGCATGAAATGAGGAAAAGCAAGCTACCTGAGATCGGATGCCCCTCGAATAACATGATAATTTGTGACAACATGACCTTTTTTATCCCAAACAAAGCCTGATCCAGATCCTTGTGGCACCTCCAACACATCAAGTGTGAATGCATCCTGCCTACATCACATAACAGTATTCACTCAAATGTGCAGAATAGTTTGATTATATCATTCAATACCAATCTTAAGAAACACAATGACGAACAGAAAAACATCCATCAAAGTTGGAACGATTAAGGACGAATACCTAGAAGCGAGGTTAGTAATGTAGACAACAGAAGGGGTATTCTCCTGGAAAAGACGAACAGTGGCAAGCTCATCCGTCTGCAACTTCCTCGGCGTAGCGAGAACAAAAGCGGCAGCTGCGTCCACATCAGTGACGAAGACAGAAGCGGAAAGAGCTAGAGAAGTGCATAATACGAAGCAGGAGTCTAGAAATTTGATAAAGGAGGATCTGTGGGTAGATTCCGGCGCCGGAGAGTAGGTAGGGTGAGAAGGTTCGCGAAGAGAAGAGGCGACGATATGCCTATTGGGTGTGCGAGGAGAGAAGGTTCTAGAAAGAGAAATCGTGGTGGAGGTATGGGAAGGAGGGAGAGTAAGAGAAGAAGAAGGGCATGCTGAGAGGAGCGAATAGACAGCCATAGCTGCTGCTATGCTATTGCTCCGTTACCTCAGGTTCTCCTTTTCCGTTGAAACTTTTTCCTCTTTTTTTTTTTTAATAATTTAATTAATTAAAAATAATTAATAGCATGGAAGGCACGTTTTGTTAATATGAAAAACTTAATAAAAGAAAACGATCATAATGGCATTTACTATTGAACAAACAGCGTTGTTGCTTCACAATTCACAATTCACATTTAAATTATATTTATTGTGTTTTATGCTATTTCTTCTTAATATTGTTTTTATATGGTTTTTATGCGTTGATTAATTTATTAAATATTAATAATAATAAAAATAGTATAAAATAAAAATTGGAATCGGGAAGGTTTTTTATTTGTAAGAAAATGGTCCAAACATTTTTTTTCCTGTGACTACATAAGTGATCTAAGCATACACGACAAACATGTGTTTTACTATCATTATCTCTGAATCGATAAAGTTTATGGTTCGTCCACAAGAAGCTTCTAAAGGTAGTATGCATGATCAATAAGTTTTGTAGCGGTTAAGAATGTTGGAAGAGTTTGCCTGATTTATGACAAGATGAATAAAAACCTCTTCTTCCGAAAAATACCAAATGCTCCAAGTCCATATCTTGGATACGATAGTATAGTATGCACAGAGCCACATGAGCAAAACCTTGGGAAAATCATGTAGGGAAGTAAAGAAAGACATTGGTAAAAATAGAACTTCTTTCTTGAGAAAGAAAAAGAAAGTGCTACTTACGGATCAAAACTCGATATCATCAACATCACTGAGAAAAATGAATGAAGAATTTGTTAGTTAAAAGATAATGCCAAAAATTTAAAATAGGAACCCTGGAAATAATGCATTAGCAACAGCCAACAATTGTCTGACTCTTTGGGCTTTTGGTCAAGTGGACATTGAAATTGACGACATAGGTCGAAATAATAAAATAGGCCATAAGAATGCCTCATGTAGATAGAAACAAAGTACATGAGATGAGAATGAGAAGGGTGACAAAGCTCAAACGAGAAAAATAAATAAACTGTAAAACATTTTGATGAATATACCAGACTAAGCAAAATATGAACCGTACACATTTAATGGTAAAAACATCATGACCTTGTCCAACCAATATATGTCTATGTTCAAAATAAAGACACAAGTATCCAACATTCTTTATTACAATGTGGATAGAAATAGAGTGTAAAGTTTAACCTATAGACTGTATAATCTGATTCAGGAAGATCAAAGAACAATGTGCTTATTTGCCATCTTAATTTGGGATGTAAACTCTTATGGCGATTTCTTTTTCAAATATGAAGAAAAGATTCCACAAAGGAAAATATAATTAAAGACCAGTAACAAAATTGTAAGAAGGATATTAATTAACAAACAAACATGTAAAATAATCAAATGCTTTTATGGATACAGAAGCAGTAAGATCTACATGAGGATCATCAATGGGTTTAAGCAAAAGTTTTGTACTAAAATGTTTCGCTTCTTCGAAGTAATATTCAAAAAGGCATCTCAAAACAAGCTTCCCAAACAAAAGTTTATATGACGACTCTAACATCCTGCATCATCACATCCAAATAAGTCGGTTAAAATCAAATCTAAAAGCAATTATCAACCAAGGCTCTATGTTACTAAAATAAATCATGCTAATATACATTATGAAATCCAGAAAGATGACCGAAGAATCACCAAGTGAAGGGAGAATTATCGATAGAACCTGTGCGAGCAGCGACTGGAGGGAAGTCCAAGAGTGGCGAGACCAACACCATAGGCTGTGGAGGTTCTTTGCTCCATGACCATAGGTTACCCATGTCTAAAAACTGCAAATCTGTCTAGGGCTTTGTAGAAATTTGAACTGGTTTTGATCGATCAAAGAGAGCATGAAGTTACAAGCCCTCCATGTATCTACGTTGTTAACAATATGCCTGTTTTATAAAGTCTTGTATCAAGATATGTATTTTTACATTTCACTTTGTTATTTTTTTCCACTTAATCAAGAAACACCATTGAAAGACTGAGAAATTTGTAGTATAAAGATTAACGATGGTTTCTGCTACCCATCAGATGTCATTGATGCGATTACAAGCAGCAGCATATCTTGGAAGGATATGCAGAAAGGAAGCATCTTTCCCAAGGGAAATTCATACATCTCCATAAATATATGGATTGGTTTTTAAACAAATTGAGAGATAAGAATTAACCATCAAGTAGGAATTCAAGTGACAAAGATTTCTTGCTTCTACCCCTGCCTGCATCTTTTAATAACTGGGCCAGCCTTCGTTTTTCATCGTCGACTTCGGAACTTGCTGTTCCAAGCTTCTCCTCTCTCATCCCAACCACGTATTCCAGTATCTCTATCGCATCTTCCCATCTGTACCCAACATTTTCTTTCAAGATTCATCTTCTAAAATGCATTTAGAAAACAAGAAAACATTACCTGCCCATTGCATCATAAGTTCCAGCAAGATTGCTATAGACGGCAAGTGTGTCTGGATGATGAGAACCATATTCCACCTCCAAAACACCCTTTGCTTCTTCAAACAAATCAGCAGCCTCATCTAGCAAGTCGATCTGGACACAAGCCAGTCCCATTTGATTCAAAACAATGCCAAATAAAGCTGATTTCTTTTCGGCCACTGCCCTTAGTTTTGAAATGGCAACCTTGAAATAATCATATGAATCAGAGTAAATCCCCATCATGTAATAAAGAACTCCCATCTGTGCTTCAACTCCTGCAATCGTGCTCAGTTGACCCGGAGCCTTCCCGAAAACCTTGAGTGCCTTTTTCAGTAAGTTGATTGCTGGGCCAAGTTCATTCATGGATTCATAAATAGCAGAAACTTCAATGAAACCATTTGCAATTTCATCATTTGGGCTCCCCTGCATCGGCTTCTCATAAATTCGCAATGCATTTCCGCAATAAGACTTGGATTCACGGAACTTTCCAATCCTGTTGTACAGCTCGGCCAAACGGACAAAAACAGATGCAACCGATGGATGATTGTCTCCTTTTATTGCCTTATACACATTCAGAGCTTTCTGATAAGCAAAAACAGCTTCATCATAGCGAGCCAACGATAGATAGGCATCACCGATACACACATCAATGGCAGCAACTTCAGCGTCTTGCCCTGCTGCGGACATGGTGATACTTGCCAACACATAATGCTCAAGGGCAGCCTCATATTCTCCCTTGGCATCACAAACAAGCCCCATAAGCCTCCTGTCAGCTGCTTCTTCTTCAGAAGCAGTTGACCCATTTGCTTTGTGTATGTCAAGAGCCATTTGACATAGTTTCTTGGCCTCATCGAATTCCATAGCTTGAATATGAGCCTCGGCTACATACCTGCAAGTCTCCCCAAATCGAGGATCCGTTACACCTAAAACTTGTCTTTGGATTCCCAAACCGGCTGTATAACATAGAATGGAGTTTTCGATATATCCAAGCATCGCGTATGTATCACCTAACTGCATACAGCCTGCAAACTTAGCTAGCGCGTTTTTTTCGCCTTCACCCACTCTTGGTATTTCGATAGAACGCTCTAGCAGAGGAATGGCTTCACCGTACTGCCCTAAACTACAGTACAATGCTGCTACAATATGCAAACACAGGACATAATCCAAATTGGGTTTCTGAGCTCGACCGCATTCAAATGCTTTCATTGCCCTTATACCCAATTCAAGAGCTTTCTTTGGATTTTCTCCCGATGCCAACAACTCCCTTGTTTGCTTAAGGAAGTAAGGCCCTAAGTATACTGGATCTTCTTTTCCGTTCTGCGATCCTTGTGTGAGGTTCTTTTCGATTTTTCTTGGGCTGCCTTTGGGGCTTCCAAGAAGTAGGTTGTTGTTATCTTGGAAAGATTTACTCCTTGTTTTTGGCTTTGGGAGTCTGGGAGAAGATACATTTTTTGAACTTAAAGATTGGTTAATTGTTTTTGACTTAGGAGAACTACAGTTCAATGATTTAGTGCTATCAACCCTAACCAGAGTTTTTTTCAATGTCTTCTCTTCCTTTGCAAAATCTTCTGCAACAAGAAAGCGTAGCTCAGGATCGAATTTAGGAGACCGGTCTGAGCTTTGCATATCTAAGGCATCCTGATACAACTGCTCGTAAGTGTCAGCAGTCAGAGGACTGGCTGTCTCTAAATCAATTAACTCATTATCAAGATTTTCAGTGTTCAACGGGCTTCTTGGTGAAGAATTGATGAAAAGGTCTTTCTGGGGCAACAAGGAAATATCGCTAGGTGAGTTTGTATTCTGTACGCCAAGTTGAGACATTTTCACTCCTCAAATGTGATTTGCCCAAAGACTCTTGTTTCTGTATAGGCAAAAAAGAACCCGATTAACCAACCTACACCTTCTCAAATATGCAACTGATGTTAAATACAACATATAAAGAACCCAAAAAGAGTCATTGCCAATTGCTTCTAAAAGCGTCCAAATAATTAGAAAACATGAATTCAGTTTTAAATTTGAATAGGACCATGCAGTTGTTATTGTACAGATGTGAATGTCAAATCTTGGATCATATATTATAAGCAAATATGGCCATGCATCCATGTTCATGGAGATATACAACTTATAGTTATTTTTCTTTTTTTTTTAGGAATTTCGACAAACACGTTCAGAGCAAAAGGATAAAGGTTTAAGAAACCCAAAAAATTATTCGTAAATAGATATCAACAATCAAAATCAAACCAATGCATGATCAAAAACGGGGTAACAGGGATGCATTGATCAGCAGAAAACAAGAAATCTGAAATGCAAGTTTCCTTATGTAGTTTAGCAATACGAACGCAACATTGTGGAACCCATTTAATAACATATTAATATCGGAAAATTGGTGGCAAACTCGACCACGTACCTTGATATTTGACCACCCAAATGACAAACTGATCTCCTCTGTGTCTAATTTCTGCAAGCAAACACCAACAACACAAAACAGAGCAAGAGAAAGAAAGACAGAAAGGTGGTTGATAAGCAAAAAAGATGACTCCCTTCTATCTCTCTCTCTCGAAATGAAAAAGAGAGAGAAAGGGAGAGAAGGTAAGAATGAAGAAATAGAATGCAGAAAAGGTGGTTGATAAGCAAAAAAGATGACTCCCTTCTATCTCTCTCTCTCGAAATGAAAAAGAGAGAGAAAGGGAGAGAAGGTAAGAATGAAGAAATAGAATGCAGAAAAGGTGGTTGATAAGCAAAAAAAGATGAAAAAATGGTCCAAATGCAGAGAATTGGTGTGTGAAATGAAGACAGATATTGAAGGAATCTGAGATATAGACAAGAATGGCGGTGGAGATAAGAGAGGAGGGATTTTAGAAGCCAAAAGAAGACGACTGATATTTGCACCACCACCTGCAACCGTACTCCTCTCTCTCCCTCTTTCTTTCTTTCTTTATTTATTTCTCAATGGCTTTTCTTTCGGTTATCATTTTCCTTATACAGAAACCACCAGAGGGACAAAATGAGACCGGCTTCCATTTTAAACGCCAAGTCGCCAACCGCTCCTTTAGAATTGGAACACAATCACTCAACTACACTTTTAGTCCCTATAGTTTTATGAGTTTAACGAATTAGGTCCCTAAAATGAAACTTACAATTAAACGGATCCTGATAGTTTCATTTTTAACGATTTGGGTCCTTTTCAATAACTTTATGTAAAAAAGGTCCCTTAGAATCTAAACCAGGTTAATGTATTTATGTCAAATGAAAATATTATTGTTTACACTATTTAGGTGTGTATGGATGAGGTGATGCAATTTTAGAAATTATAATTAATATATCAAATTGACAAATAGATATAAACGAATCGAGCTTTTACCGAGCTATTCGAGTTTAAGCTCGTTTATCTCGAGCATGAGCTTAATAGGTCTCGAGCCCGAGTCGATCTCAAACATAAAATAAAACTCGTTTAATTTGATGAGTTGAGCTTTATAATACTAATGTTCGACTCGGGTCGTTTGAGATCGATGATCAAAAATTTTGAGTCGAATCTAGTTGATCCGAGCCATTCAAACATATATTTTTTTTAAGTCAAACATGCTCATATGTTCATAAAAAAAAACAATAGAAATATGAAATTTATCAACCTCAAGTCTACAAACAAGTTAATCAATCGCAAGTACAAGCTATCTATACTATATTATAAAGCATTTGGCTAAAACTCTTAAACCCGTTCATCCCTAAACGATTTAATCCCTATCCGATTTCATCTCATATATGAATTTGTATAACTAACTGCAGATAAACACAATCAAATACAGGATAAACATTTCATTTTATATATAAAAAATCTAAATTATAATGAGTATAATCATTAAATTCTAACAGAATACTTAATTATTATCTTTATAAAATTTATAATATTAAACCAAAAATAAATT